TGTGTGTGTGTGTGTGTGTGTGTGTGTGTGTGTGTGTGTGTGTGTGTGTGTCTTACTGTCTGCCAAATTATGAATGTTGTCTCCCAAACTCAGGAAGTAGGGGTGACGTAGAGCGGTTTCAGAGGAGAGTCTGCTCCGGGTGTCATACTGCAATCATGAGATAAAAACAGCTCATCGGTGAGTCTGAATATTTAGGTCCTCATAACCAGGAGTGTGGATGTGTGGTCCTTTACCAGCAACAGAGCAGACAGCAGGTCAATCCCTTCTGGGTCCAACCTTAGGGACACAAAGCAACAGTTCAGACTGTATAATGAGTTTAGCTGCAAGAAATAGTTTCTGTAAAGGACACTAATTGTGCCTTTAAATACATATTACTACTGTAAACAATGAATAACATTTTTATACTGTATTGTATTTTGTGTTTAGAATTGACATAATTAACTTTGAGTTCAGTTAACCATGTAAGACCTGAAACATGACAACAACATGAGTATATTGGGGACAAATAAAATTACCATTATCAATGTGATGGCTCAAAAACTAGTTACTTTCTTCAAAAATGTTTTGCATCCTTTAAAAAACAACAACAACAACAACAACAACAAAAAACAAGCAAGCAAACTGATACCAGCATCAGCAATTATTCTGCATGTGATGCTAATCAGCAAATGTTAGCTTGTTTTTTGTGCCAGTGAATAGGCAGTGAAGAGAAGATTGTGAGTTTTACCGGGGCACATGGTTGATGAGAGCTTGAGGTCTGTACTGAGGAAAGAGGTAGGACATAAATTCCTCATTACTGCTGATACCAGGCCAGGTCTCCTCTGCCGGAGTGCCTGTTGGGCAAAGAAACAAAAGAAATACTTGATCAGAGGACACTGCCACCTAACATTTTCATACAAATGTTGAGCTGATCTATATCTAAATCAGGAGCAAGACAAGCATTAAGCTCACTGAATCGTTACTGAATAGACACCAATAAAATAATGGTGCAAACTACAGTAGAAGATGGAAGGGAATTAAACGGCACACTTTTGGGGTTCAAGCACAGTTGGGCAAGAAAAAAATTATTAAAAATTTGCAGGAACTAACAAATGGATCAACAATCTCTGGAAACAAGGCTAAATATTATTGCTAATGATGGCTTGCTCAAAGAAATTGTCAGGCGCTGGGTCTGTGACCGAGCGTTTTGAGTTTATTTTGCATTTTTGATTCCTCGTGTTATATTAGAAATATGTTTAGTTCTTTGGTTGTTATTATTAGTTAGAATTTAATTGAGTTTCATTCTAGTTTTTGTTTCATCTATAACTCCTGAAGTCTTTTGTTGTCCTCTTTGTAGTCTGTCTTGTCCTCAGTGTTTTTATTTTTCAGTTATGCCTGTGTGTCCGTCTCTCAGCGCGTTCCATGTTCTAATTGTCAGGCTTGTGTTGTCATGTCTACGTCTCTCCATGGTTCCTGTTTTATTTTGAAGGGTTTAGTGTTTTCTTGTTTAATGTGTTTAGTTTTACTTTGCCCTGTGGCGTCATGTTTATTTGTGTCTCCCCAGGTCTTTGAGGATTGAATGTTACTCATGGAATCGTTATTATGGAAAGAATTGTCTTCTCTGTGAGACTTCAGGAGAGTCAATTTGAGAAAATGTAAATTTGAAAGTTATTATTCAATTTTTACATTTTTTTCTCGATTACCTTTGATGGGAATAACGGTGTTACAAGTAACGGCGTTACTTTTTTAAGTAACGAGTAATCTAACTAATTACTATTCCTATCGTTACAACGCCGTTACAGTTACTAATAAGAAAATGCGGTCCGTTACTATTTTTCAATAAACAGACGGTTGAAGCTGTGTTCAGCTTACCGCATCTTATATCAGTTGCACGGAAGCAGTTGTAAGTAATCTGGGCGCTACAGCTTTAAGCAGCTGCGTGCGCTCCCGCGGACGGTGATCATGATCACTGTCTGGCACAACACCTGGAGCTCAGGGGGCAAAACAATCACATGAGTGCTGCTGTTTGACTGAGGAAGTCGTGGTAAGCCAATCACATGACCACTTAAAGACAAAGCAACAAGGTGATATATACCAGTTTATAAATTGTGTTGATAGTCCACGTAAAACCAGAGTCATGATAAACAATATACACGTGTGTTTTTTCCTCAATAGTTTCGTCACGTTTACTGTCTAAGGACAGCGCAGCGAGCACTCTCTGCTTATGAGCAAAAAAAAACAAAAAATGGGAAGTTTTAGGAGTGACGGCGAGAGAGAGAGAGAGAGAGAAAGAGTGAGAGAGAGAGAGAGAGAGAGAGAGAGAGAGAGAGAGAGAGAGAGAGAGAGAGAGAGAGAGAGAGAGAGAGAGAGAGAGAGAGAGTGAGAGTGGAGATGTGAGGGATTTGTGACGTTTAGCATGTTTGT